ACGCAATTATTTGTTTTTGCTGCCATTTTTCATAGAAAGTACATATTTTTTTAAATATTTGTCATCAAAATAGGTTTAGGTTAAAAGCAACAAGACAGAAGTTTAATTTTTGCTGCAGTTCCCTTCTTTCCGTAGCTAAGCTAACGGGGAAATAAATAAAAAATATTTTAAAATCTACACAGATGTTAAAAATTAACGCTAATTTTACATTTTAAACAAACGACTATTTAAAATAATTCATCGTTTGGATAATTCTAAAATTTCTTGTTGTGAAATTACGTTTAAAAGTATGACCCCTATTTAAAATCTTTATGTGAGGTATTGGTTGAAATAAAAAAGCCATTGTCACGAGCGGGATTCGAACCCACGACCTTCGGCTAAATACGCCGCTACCCTACAGCTTCAGCTATCGTGACAGCGTGACAGCTCAAGCGGCAGAGCAGCGGCGTATTTAGCCGAAGATCGTGGGGTCGAATCCCACTCGCGACACTGGCTTTTTTATTTCAACCAATACCTTACATAAAGACTAATTAATTAAAAGAAATTATTTGGTCAATCGAACCACGAAATATAATGATCCTATTTAAAATATTAAAAACCAGTTTATTTTGAAAAAAATATACATGTGCATACATGTACATAACAGTCAATCTTCTAATTCATTCGATTTTCTATAACATACCAATTTTCTTAATTCATCGTATTTGCTCTAAGCTATTACAATTATATAATGAAAATATTTTAACCAAAATTATTGTTAATATTATATTTGATGACTTTTATCAAATAAATTTTCATAAATATCAAGAATTATTTAAGGTAACGATTAATAAATAAAGACTAGTCAAAGCAAAAGACGTTAGATGGAACTAATATTTTGTTTCGGTGAAAGTAACGCCGTTAACTTTATAAACATTGTTTAATCCTGGTTCCTTAATTCTTATCAGACCGATAAGAAACTTCTCTCTTGGTTTGTGTTTTTAAACATGTTACCCTCAAGCTTGTGTTATTTGCTTTTTCCAACTAATTACGCCCAACATTGTACGTTTTGCACCGACTGTGACGTTTATGGTAATGCCGACTTGGGGTAATTTCCTAATTTAGAGAGATGGTATATCCAGTTAAACATAATTTCTCAAAAGACTGCTCTCGTGTCTACATATTCCTTCATAATTCGCCACGGAATGTTGGACAAATTTAATCGCTATATAATTAAAACGCCCTAAGCAAAACTTGCAAAGTACATAATTATGTTCACTCACTTAAAAAATTATTTTTTAATATTTAATGTATGCTGTTATTTCTTGCATGACTCAACGTAACACTTTGGAACATACAGAAACTACCATCTGGTGTAAAATTATCTTAAAATTCAAGAGAAATTGTTGTATTAAAGTATTTTCAATCTAGAATTTCGACCCACAGTATTTTTTTATTAATTCGTTTATGGTAAAATTTCTGGACTAATGAATGAGTAAAGTATAAAAAAATTGTTTAACATAACAAACGAATTTTTGTTTAAATTTTAAATTTTCGTAATAAATTAAAGTACGAGTTATATTAACTGTTGGAATTTTAACTTTATTACCCTGTTTTATAACTGTAATAAAAGTTATGTGTAACTTACTAGAGAATATCGTGGAAAAGTGTGTTATTATAAGCCAAAGATACACATAAAATGTTTATTCGAGAAAGTCTGAATTCCTGGAACTTGTTGAGAGTTGGAAAAAGAATTAAATAAGTGTATAAACTTCACGGAACACTGGCCTACAGAAAGGAAAGTGTCTTTGGAAACTTTCGTATAATGTGGAAATCATATTTGCCGAACCGTTATTTACACTTAGGGAAGAGGCACAAAGCGGTTGAATTTAGATGGTGGAGTGGAAATTATTTTAAGTAGAAAATTGATTGGGCAATATTAGTATGTATAAATAAAGGAACCGTTCAGACGATAAAACTCTGTGAGTACAAAAGACGGAGGTATCACATTTTCTTTCTTTCCATTTGATATAGGTTTCGGCTGATTTGATATGATTCGCAATCGGAAAAGGATCATTTTTGCCAGACCGCCATTAATTTGATCATTATTATACGACAAATTGTTTATTTATTATACATATATTTTATTTACAACTCCAACTTAGAAAATAGGGACAAGTGGAGTGCTCAATTTATGTCATCCGTCGGAAGACGTATTAATGAAGAGTGTGTGCGGTCTAGACAATATCTCCGTTTTTTTTTAGTATAGAAGGATTTACAGTACTCTCCAAATTTATTAAACATACATGCCAGTACTAAACGTTCAGCCATTGAGTTAAGTTGCCGTCCATTTCTTGGCTGTGTGACCCATCTTCAGTGAATTTATATTTCGCCACACCGAACACAGGAAGCTCAGCAAAACCCAGCTACTTGAATTTCTAAACGGAATGAATTGCTTAGTATGATCAGATACGCGCGGAAAGCTTGGTCTTATCGTTTTAGACTAATTAAGGAATTTAATTATGATTAATGGTTATTCAGAAATCGTGAGATGCGGTCTTGTTTGATGTAGGTTTCAGAAAAACATTTTCTTTATCGCGCCAACGTTTCGATCTTTATTGAGATCATCTTCAGGGCCTGGGATTTACAAACATTGCTTAAATTTTACAAAAACATGTAGGATGTGGAAAAAAGTGAATTTATACAATGCAAAAAATATATTTTTTATATTCAAAGTATTTCTACTCACTCAAAGTGTTTGTTTTCTGCGTAAGTGTGCCATTCTTGCGTGTCGTGTTGCAGCAATATCTCACTGGCATTTTCAACATAAATTCTTTTTTTTTTTACATCCTACATATATTTGTTAAATTTAAACAATGTTTGTAAATCCCAGGCTCTGAAGATGATCTCAATAAAGATCGAAACATTTAATTGAGGTTTTTAGTCTAAAGTTAACTTTTTTTCATCTCGACTAAAAACCTTTATTAATTGTAATATTTAATTGGTCAAGCGGACCACGAAATTAGTGAATTTAAAGATCGAAACGTTGGTGCGAAAAAAGAAATGTTTTTCTGAAACCTACATCACACCAGACCGCATCTCATGATTTTTGAATTATCATCGACTAACTGTCACAAATCACCACACGTTATGATTAATAGTTTTTTGTCTATTTTTAAATTTTTTCTTCATGTATTCTTAGAAGTTTTCTACCTTTTAGTTTTGCATTATATATTTCATTCTTATATTTTTGTTGGTGTAATGATGCAGCATCTTCCGCCTGACGGTATTTACCACGGTGTATAATGGTAATTTACTTTGTTTTGTATATATTTATTTTTGTTGTTAAATAAACATTATTATTATTTGTGTGTGGTGATTAGTGACCGTTATTCGATAATTATTCAGAAATCGTGAGATGCGGTCTGGTGTGATGTAGGTTTCAGAAAAACATTTTCTTTATCGTGGCAACGTTTCGACTCTCAACGCGACACGCAAGAATGGCACAACTACACAGAAGACAAACACTTTGAGCCCTGAAGATGATCTCAATAAAAATCGAAACGATGGCACGATAAAGAAAATATTTTTCTGAAACCTACATCACGCCAGACCGCATTACACGATTTCTGAATAATAATTATTATTATTTTATTTAAAATATGTGATTTGTTTTTAACCGGCCAAGGTATGTATGTAAAGGACACTGTAGAAGAACGACCTCAGTCAACTGAAACAGTATTTACAAAAAAAAATATAAAAAAAATAATTGTAAAAATCATTATTTTGATTTAATTTACAAGAAGCATTTCAAAATGTTTTCATAATTATACGTATATAGTCCGTGAGATGGTTCATCGACTGATGTATGATCTTGAGATTCATCCTCAATTTCAACGGGTTCAATCTTTAGCCTTTCTTCCTTCAAGAAAAGTTTTAAGATTTCGTTTTCCAGGGGCTCAAAATACACTACGCATTCCCAGACAAGTTCTGAGTTCAAAATGAAGGCGGAATTGAATTTTTTCTTGGTTGTTTGAGAATAAATTGCAGCTTTTAAACAGTGCTTCTGCACTTCTCTTGTTATCTAGTTCCTACAGAGTTACTTATATAGCATGGATCCACGGTTTGAGGCCTAAAGGTGTCGGAAGTTCAAAATTTGCCTTACTCATGACCTCCAACAAAAAATTAACATTGAGTCCAATAGTTCTTTTTATGTAAGGTCTTGGTCGAAATAACAAATTCAGTGTCCGAGTGGATCGATCACGATAGCTCAAGTGGTTAGAACAGCAGCGTATTGAGCTGAGGTCATGGGTTCGAATCTCGCTCTTCATACTGACCTTTTCATTTCAACCAAGACCTTACATGAAAAGAATAATTAATTAAAAGAAGTAATTTGGTCAATCAACATAATGGATTGAGTCCAGTTCCAAAACTCTACAACCAATTTTATGTATAAGTCAAGGCTAAATTGTTACAAAATTAGAGAAGTTAACAGGTAAACATTCCTACAACATGTATATAAATATATGCGTGTGCGTCTGTGTGGTATTTGTAATTCGTTTCCAAATTTTTTCAAAAATGTTGCATTTCATCATTTTTCCATTAAAATTTCTATCGTGGAAAACATGCTGATATTTTTCTGTTTATTTCATTACAAGACTTACTTTATAGTTTTCTGATTTCTTATTTGCTTTTCATAAATTATTTCGCCACACGAATCAATTTCAAAAGTAACCTACTTGCTTTCTGATTTAGTCGATTCATATTCCAAAAAATTTTATTTTATAATACTAATACCTTTATTATGTTTTTATTAGTTTTTTTACCATTACATAATACTTATATGGATGAAAAGAACATAATTGTTCTTTTATTCATTTGTTATGAAATCATTTTATTATAGTTTTGTAAAAACAGATTTATTGTATGAAATACCATTTAAAATCTGATGGGTTGATTAAATAATTAATTTTTTTAAATATTTTTTTAGAAGTTTATTGTAATCATTTTGTTTATTAAAGGAAAAGCAACCGGTTTGGTGACGAATACTCGAGTGACTCATGCTACTCCTGCTGCGGCCTATGCTCATTCGGCCTCCAGGTACTGGGAGGACGACGCCAAAATTCCTCCACAGTCGAGAAGGTCCTGCAAGGACATCGCAAGACAACTTGTCGAAGACGAGCCAGGAAGAAATATAAACGTGAGTATCGTTTTTGTTTTATTTCAAAAGAATTTAAAAAAAAACATGCGCATGTCCGTTGATTTTCGAATTTTTCTAAGGATATCTCTGGATATTCACAAACTTACTTATTTCGTGAGCAATCAGTAGGGTTCATTTTTCTTCGTAAGACGTGATAAAAATGACACGAGTTTTTTTAAAGCCCCATAATACTGTAAAACATAAAAAAAATTCAAAATAGCCCCTGATTCGCGGAGATTTCAAATAATACTCATGTGTAAATATTTTTTTTCGCAATGCGTTGTAAGTTTTATTTATGTGTCATAGGACTGTGTAGTAAAATATTTACATTTGGATTTTCCATTATGCGACAATCAATTACTTCAATATTTCTATAGATTTATAAAATTATTATTTCAATGAGCATTGATTTCCAATTCCTATGCAAGTGAAGAGAAAGCCTTTCGACCTTTTCCTGTGATATTTAATTTAAAATTTTCTCCACATCTATAGTTTAGAAATCATCAATAATGACTTTTATAGATATAAAGCTAATATAAGTAAAAATAATTATTCAGAAATCGTGAGATGCGGTCTGGTGTGATGTAGGTTTCAGAAAAGCATCTTCTTTATCGTGCCAACGTTTCGATCTTTATTGAGATCATCTTCAGGGCTCAAAGTGTTTGTCTTCTGTGTAATTGTGCCATTCTTGCGTGTCGTGTTGATAGTCAACTCTCTCGTGAGGAAAATATTTTTCTGAAACCTACATCACACCAGATCGCATCTCACGATTTCTGAATAATTATCGATTAACGGTCACTAATCACCACACATATAAGTAAAAAGTAGAGTTTATATAGTGGAACCATTTTGTATACTTTTAAATGAGCATATTTACAGATTTGTATTTGCCGAATGTATGTAAATACGAGTGGAACTTCCAATTTTTAAAAAAGGTAGCAATATTACACTTTTAAACAAGCATATTTACAGATTTGTTTTTGCAGAATATATGAAAATACGAGTGGAACTTCCAATTTTTGAAAAAACCAATATGATTATATGAAATTATAGATCAATGTAGATATCATTTGGCCGGTGTTTGCTAAAATCATTGCGAAAAAAACACAATTGTTGAACTATTTGAAATAAAATTATTTGTTCCGTATGTTTTTCGTAAAACTAGAAGTACACAAGACGCTGTACTGAATTTTGTTAATACAACTTTGGAATGTTACGTAGCCATATTTCTTACCTTAGTAAGGCGTTTGATTCTGTCCCACTTGATGTACTTACTAAAAAATTGAGTATGTTTGCGAGAAGGCTTCAGTCGATCTGTTTTAGTCCTATATCATTGATCGTCCGCAGATGCTTCGCTTTGAGGATAATCTTTCAATCTGAAAAATATAAGCATAGGTGAAACACAGGGCCCAATCTTAGGTTTGGTCCTGTATTTGATCTATACAAACGTCATTTTTACGACGTTTTCGTTACCTTTCCTAATAGATTATTTAGGCGATACTACAACTTCCGTTAAGGATGGTGATTTGGGAGACTTTGAGGAAGTAATAAAAGTTTTATTGGACGGATGGATGATTGGATCACTGCGAATAAGTTATTACTTAACCGAGATAAAGAAAAAACACTTGCTCGGGCCTTCCTGATATGATCTGGAGGCTCTGACAACCCGGGTTTTGTTGAGTTTTTAGAAACAGGAGATTTTCCACTCCTGAATTAGGATCATTGTGGGAGACTGGTCAACCTCTGAAGCTGGGGTATAGTTACTTTGTATGTTTCTGCGTACTACATTACTTTACAAACTTTGTTTATTCACGGTATTAACATATATTTATTGCATTTATATTTATTGCAAATTCGATTAAAATCAATACAAAAGAATAAACACTAGATTTCGTGATTGCTTTATTTATTTTTATCGGTTATGTTGAAATTAATCAATATACAGTTTAAAATATCTTTAAACCTATACAACATAACGGTATTAAAAATTTTGCAATTAACTAAGGTTTTTAGTTGAGATAAAAAAGTCAGAGTCAAGAGCGGGATTCGAACCCACGATCTTCGGCTAGATACGCCGCTTCTCTACCACTCGAGCTATCGTGACCTCGACCTATTGGGACACTAACTTCCCATCTTAACTCCACCTGTTGAATTTTCCCTACTTGAAATGGCCACGGAGAGCTTTAATGTTTTTTTTATTTCAACTAAAAACCTTAATTAATTGAAAGATATTAATTGGTCAAGCGGACCACGAAAACTAGTGAATTTAATAAGTTTAAAAGAAGTACACCTTCACTAATGCCATTTCATTTGTCGCCGAGAATCAAATAGATTGCACGACATTTGAAAAATGGCAAAAAGGAGTGAAAATTCAAACGGTGGGGTTGAGATGGGAAGTTAGTGTCCGAGTGGATCGACGTCACGATAGCTCAAGTGGTAGAGCAGCGGCGTATCTAGCCGAAGATCGTGGGTTCGAATCCCGCTCGTGACACTGACTTTTTATCTCAACTGAAAATCTTAATTAATTGAAAGTTATTAATCCGTCAAGCGGACCACGAAAACTAGTGGAGTTATTAAACATGGTTTTTTACTTTAATATCTTCTATATTTATACCATATTTGGTCAAAATCATTATAATAGAATAGCTGCTTGTTTGATCGATTTCTTTGTCAATGTACAAAAGTGGGATGACAGGGTTCGGGTCCGGTTCCACAATTTCCAAATCGCTCTCCACAGACGGTTCAGGATCAAAGACGACTAGAGAAATTTACGTTTCAGGGAATTTAGCGAATTTACAATTAGTGAAAAATACGGTGTGTTAAGAGATCATAGAGTGAAGGGAAAATAAGTCATATAGTGTCCTTTTTTGATGGCCCGGCTGAATTTCTCTTGCACCAACGACGCTATTTAACAAAAAGAAAAAGTGTTTAATATTTTTTTAGTTTAGTTTCAAATTATGATCTTTTCTTGAAGAAAAATTATACAGAGTACCTCAGGCCTTAACTTGCAGGCAGCAACTTCAAAATTTCAAACATGACCCTAATCATCCCAGAATTTTTTACGGTGAAAACAATAGTGCAATCGGAATTTAAATTGGTCAAAAAATGACGAAGTTATGGCAAAATGTTTGAAAAAAATAAAAACAAGTTTGCTTGTTTATTAATAATATTTTATTTTCGAACTACCTGCCTTGATTAAAGATGCAAAGGTTTTATCTTTTTAACCACTCTTCACCGATGGTCAGAGAGATAGAGTCAGGGTAGGTGGATTGACAAGAATTTTCTATTCTTTACCGCAGTTCTTCAACTGGGGTTGCTGGATAATGATTGTCGAAGACACTGTTTTTTAAATGGCCCCACAGAAAATAGTCAAGTGGAGTTAAATCGGGTGAGAGACAAGGCCATGAGGTCCTATCCACCTATCCTGCAAGTAACGATTCAAGTAACGCCTCACCTTCAAAGAATTGTGTGGGGGCATGCATCGAGCTGAAGAATCATTATTTGTTGTTATTGCAGAGGAAGATCAAATAATAGTGTTAGTATAAATTTTCTCAAAAATAAAGAACTGAGCACCATTTAAATTATTTTCGTAGAAATATTGCCGAATTAATTTATTTCCTAGAAGTCCACTCCAAACGTTGATACAGTGAACCACCTGACGATGACAATAGTACGAAATTCTCGGATTTTCCTCTGCCCACATACGAAAATTCCAACGGCTTATTAGTCCATTAGAGGTAAACTTAGATTCACGGAAGGACGTTTGCTTCGGCCTCCCAAATCGACATTTGTGCAAGGAACGTTAGACGCCTGTCATAATCAGTCCCAAAGTCTCAGGACAAGACGATATGTTTTGAAATTGTAAGTCCGTACTAAATCTCTAATGTTATTTTTAGAAAAATCTAAAACCCTTCCAACATTGCGTAGAGAGAAACTCGGATTTTTGCGAGCATACAATAAAATATTCAGCTCCTTGTCGAAATAAGGTGATGTGTGCCTTGGTAATGAAACAGCAACTGATCCGTATCTACTCATATTGCGAGCAACACGGATAAACGTTTTTCGGTTTATCCTCGGGCAATCAGGAAATTTCTGGGAGTACGACTCGATTGTACGACGAGCAATATCACCACTATCAATAAAGCAGTCGTACATATCAATTCACTGTTGATTCTGTTCATTTTGAATGGAATACTGAAAGAAATGAATCGGTACTATTCTAAAATTTATTTACTACCAGGAATAAACTTTTGCTCTCATAATGCGAGTTTGACAAACAATGATACAGCGTAAACAATAAAGGCAATCAATGTTTACTTTAGAGAAGAAGCAAATTATTGAAATTAACAACGGAACGATGGCCTCATGAGAATCTGAAACGAAATGAAAGGATCGTGTTAACTCGGTTGAGGATTGGCCATACCCGTCTGACACACGGACATCGGCTTCTGGGTCAAATCCCGCGCAGGTGTCCCACTTGTAGAGAAAGGTTGCTCAGTGTGTCTCATCTTGTCGAGGAGTGCCGTGCCTTGTCCCCCACAGGGAGCGAGTAGGCATGAACCCTGACATAAAAACGGTATTCGGGCGAGGAAGTCAAATGTTGGATCCCCTATTCCGCTTATTAAGAGAAACGGGGGAGTTTCCTCACATGTAAATAGTGTATAAAACGTGAATATCTGTGTAAATAAGTGTATCTGTGTTGTGTTTTATTGTGTCGTGTATTTATTTATAAGTAATTTATTTATTTGTTTGTTGTAAGCGGGATCTTTTGGACTGTAGAGCCAATGGCGGAATATTGAGTACCCCATCGGCCACAACAGTGCAGTGAGAGGGGGCTGAAATGACTTTATTGTTGGAAGCCCCCCGGGGCGGGGGAAATTTGACTAAAAACCTTAAATAATTGAATGATATTAATTGGTCAAGCGGGCCACGAAAAATAGTGAATTTTTGTCTTAACTTCGTCATTTTTTGACCAATTTAAAATCCGATTGTGTCATCGT